AAATTCATCCTCAGTATGTAAAGCTGTCCTGGGAGAGCCAAGTGGCCTACAACCTGATGGACAGCATTGCTGGTTCTAACAGTCCATTGACTCGCTGCCTCACCCTGTACCACAAGCCTGTCAATTCATCATGTTTAACTGCAAAATCTAAAAAGCAAAGGAGTTGGAGCATGGGCATGTGAGGTGTGAGCAGGCACATGCACTATGTTCTTATTAAGACATAGCACTTTCTAAATACCGTCTAAATACCGTATGATTTCACTTTATGAAAAAATCTAAAGAACAAACTAAATTGAAACAGACTCATAGACACAGAGAACAGATTGATGGTTGCCAGAGGAGAGGAGCAGTGGGAGATTAGGTGAAAAGGGTGAAGGGATTAAAAAGTACAAATTGGCCCATCGTGTGGCTAAGTGGTTGAGTGTCAACCTATGAACCAGGAGGTCACGGTTCAATTCCTGGTCAGGGCACATGGCCGAGTTGCAGGCTTTATCCCCAGTGTGGGGCATACAGGAGGCAGCCAATCAATGATTCTTCCTCATCATTGATGTTTCTATCTCTCTCTCCCTCTCTCAAAGCAATAAATATGTATTTTTAAGAAGTACACAAAATAGTCACAGGGATGTGAAAGTACAACATAGAAAATATAGTCAGTGATGTGTAATAACTACATAGGGTGCCAGGTGGGTACCGGAAATACCAGGGGGAACACTTCATAAATTATGTGATTGTTTAACTATTATACTGTACACTGGAAACAAACACAAAATAATATTGACTGTAAACTGTAATTGAGAAATAAAAAAAATTTAAATAAAACATTGCTCTTTCAAAATAGAGCTACCTTTTAAACAGAAATGGGAAAAAAATAAAACATTCACAATATTTAAAAAGGAATGACAAAAAAGGGAAAAAGAAAGCTTTTCTCCATATAAATGCCTTTTAGTCCTTTCATATTAGTGATTGCCTACTGAATTTTAGATAACAACTAGTTACTCTCCTGTGCAGCTACTGGAAAATTTAGAAATGCTAAAAGTCTAGGATGCAACATGAATATGATGACCAGATACTTTGAATTGTATAGATACTGACCTCCTCCTCCTCCCAGCCACTCTGTGTGTGAAGGCCAGCACCACATGTTTTAAAGAAGAATGACACTAGGGCAATTTCTCGGTGCCCAATTCTCAATTCCTCCCACAGATCAAGTGGTACACCAGAACTGACTACAAACAGAAGGAATTTGGCCTAAAAAAGCCTTCAGAATTTGCGAGTTTTGACAGCTAGTAAGCAACAATGTTTTAATACATTTTCAAAAATAGTCTTAGAAATTCTAGACTGAGCAGGACTCTTCTCTATCCCAAACAACATATTGGCAAACAGATGCATGAAATGAAATTTCTAGGTTTTTAAAAAAGGAATAATATTCTTAATAAACAACTTGTGCCTTTTGCCAACCAAGCAGTCTCTCTTTGTCCTCTCGGGACAACAAGGCCATAGTCGTTTCTACTGAGCAGTTATATATCACCCAAACACTTTACCATCTGCTGAGACGGGGAAGCCATCTCAAATGCAGCACTGAGAACAGGATTCAGGCAAGATCTTGGTATATGGCCACAATGGCCTCTCATGCCCTACTAATGCCAATGGATGGTTATGACTCAGAAGGTGACCCCTGTCACTGCGTGAAGGCTCCTACTGACACTTATTCACCAGGCTCCCAGCATCCTCCTATTCTTTTCTGCTTTGTAGTGATTTCCAACATAACAATCAAAAGCCCCTCTGCAACCTAGCCAGGAGAACTATTCCCAGTGAGCATAAAGCCTCAAAGAGATAGAAATTTCTTCTTCCAATGGGTGTGGCAACCCTGGTCCAATCTCTCATCCAAACTCACATATGTAAAGTTATTAAAAACAGTGATGATGCAGGTGACAACAATATCAGTTAACATTTGCTGTGTGTTTATTTTGTGATATTTACTAATATGAAATATCTCACTGTACTCATCAAGGCACAGTGAAAAGACCAAAACAGCTGTGGAGTCAAACAGAATTGGAGTAAGATTCCTTCTGTGCTACTAAAGTGCTCAATTGGGAAAGTCCGTCAGCCCCTCTGGGCTTCACTTTTATCTGATAAACTGGGGTACTTTTGCTCACTCTGCCCTCTTCCCAAAGATAGTGCACGTTTACAAAGAAATACCAGAGATAATAAATGTGAAAGCTCATCAGAAACTGGAATGTGCTCTTCACACATATCAGGCTTGGACAGGCTGTGGTCCAAGGTCACACAGCTGGTTCGTGGCTGGCCTGGAACTAAGACCCAGGTGTCAGAACTCATAGACCGAACAGGCTAAGCTGTTGTTCCCCTCAGTTCAGTACAGTAGGCTTTTGGACGCAGGAACTCCCAATGGTTGACTCATCTCTGGAGACCAGTTCCTCATCCTCACACATCGGTGCCAGTACAGCTGCCTCCGTCTCTAATTTTTACTACATGCACATGTACACACACACACACACACACACACACACAATCTCACTTATACATCTCTTGGTTCATATAGATTATCAGAACTCACAGAACTGGTCCTGCAAGCATGGATTTGTTAACATCCTGAAAAATTCTGGAACTCTCAGGCTTTCACTACTGTTCAAAATGAAGATTTCTGGAGATGGGTAGGAATTAATGAAATAAAAAGGTGCCCTTGGGATAGCATGATGTTTCTTTAGCAAATTTTATTTCGTTTTTGCAAATATTGTAAGATCCAGTAACTCTCTTTAAAAAGTGGTTCTTCTTTGATTAGACTAGATGGCACTGTGGTATCACCCATTTTATGACCAACAAAATCTCATTCTACCCGGCCAGTGTTGCCCAGTGGTTAAGCGTCCACCTATGAACCTGGAGGTCAAGGTTTGAGTCCCAATCAGGGCACCTGCCCAGTTTAAGGGCTCAATCCCCAGTAGGGGGACTGCAGGAGAAAGCCAATTGATGATGATTCTCTCTCATCATTGATGTTTCTATCTCTCCCTCCCTTCCTCTCTTAAGTCAATACAAAAATATTTTTTAATATATATAAAAAAAGAAAATTTCATTTCCCCCAAATGATTTTACTTTGATTTGGGGCAACCCAGGAAATGTGTTTATACAACATGTCACACCCTGACCTACATGTCCAAAAGGATTTTAAAAAGCATATCTGTCCTGTGGAACTCAGTTTTACTTCTCTGACACCGTCACAGCTGTGGAATTTTATTTTTGCCCTAAAAGCTTTTTATATCACCACCCCTCAATACACCTACAAGCTCCATCAGCAAGAGAAATTATTTGCAATATTGCCAAATTATTTGGAATCTTCCTAAACACCAGAATATTGTGGTGACCATGACTTACACAGTTCTCATAATGGATTGAGGCAGCAAATTTCCTGAGGCCAAGATTCTCTTAAGATGGCAAAAAAAAATCTGTTAGCACTGGAAAGGAAATGAAAATTCAACAGATTCTGCCAGGATTTCAGCTCTCAAGAAAGGACACTGTAAACTGAGGGAAGGGAGAGTAGGGAGTGATGATTCCTCTGAATTTCAGTGGTCGCCAGAAAGTCAGAGGGCTCCGTTTGCCTGAGACTGGACAGAAGAAACTGCACTGGCTATGGCATTCCAAAAGACACCTGCAAAGCACTGCCTAGTCCAGAGCACCGCCTAGTCCAGACCACCACCTAATCCAGACCACCACCTAGTCCAGAGCACCTAGTACTGAGTATCTCCCATGAAGGGTTAGCAGGGAGTGTTGGGAGAGGGTCCAGATAGGCAGCCATTGCAGCAGCAGCATCCTCAAGAGCCCCTGTTGTCACTTAGATAGGAAGCAAAGAGTACAGCCACGACTTTGTCTGCCCAGAGACCCAGTCCAGAGGCTCCCTGGCAACTGGACTTACCTTGCCCATTCCCTTATCTGCTCAGCTGATTTGTTTTGGGGAGAATGGGAGCTCTTGCTGGAGCACCTGCACCCCAACACACCCTCCCCAGAACCACCTTTATGGTACTCCATGACCTCCACCAACCCGGCATTGCAGATGGATAGAGGAAAATGTCCTAATTTCAAAAGCAAGTGGCTACAATCTCTTCATATATCAGGTTTTTTCGCATCAGTCCCAGATCTAGCAAATGGGCAGGCTGCACCTGGAGATGGGGCTCAGGGTTTGTAAATCACAAGCGGCTTCTCAAGGATGAACCCCACACGGGGTCGGGGCAACGTCCCAGCCCACCCATCGGCCTTGAGGATGACCCTAGCACTGGAAAACCGCCTCGGATGCCTGGCGTGCAGCCAGTAGAGGGGCACAAGCTGGATACACACGCTCTCTCCGCTCTCTCCGGTGTCCTCAGACAGCGGCAGAGGGACACCCACTCTCCCTGGAGACTAGAGCCACAGGAGAAAAAAGAGGAAGAAAGGGGGACAAAAGTCTGCCAGGAAGAGAAAGAAAAAGGAAAATAGCGAAAGAGGAAAAAGAGAAAGTGAGAGAAGAAATTTGGAAGGAGAAGGCAAGATCAAAACAAGATCAGGAGCATTAGAAAGAGGGAAAGGCAAATAGAAGTGAGAATAAAAGGGGGAATGAATGCGGGAGTGGAAAAGAGGGAAAAAAGTTTAAAGGAGACTTCAGAACCGGGGTGTGGAGAAGAGCTAGGACAGAGGGGATTCAGGGACACTACGCACATCATGGTTCTTGCCTGCGTGCCCTACCCTGTCCCAACGGCGGCGGGCGGGGGGGGACGCTTGTTCCGGGCTTTTCTGCACCCGCTCCCAGCCACCAAGCTGGCCACCCCGCGGACAGACAGACAGGAGTCTGGGCCGGAAGTGGACAGGCTTCCCTTGCCGCCACAGGCGCCGGAGAGTGCGCGCTAGGGCACCTGGCGCCTGCCCAGCAGGGGCGCAACCCTGAGGGCGCCGAGGTGAGCACTGGGGTCGCAGGCACTCTGGCGCTCCAGAGCCCCGTCTCAACACGGGCGCGCACTCACCTGGACGGTCTCAGCTTGGCGTCGCGCTTGCCATCCACCACGGCGGGCACGCAGCTAGTAAGCTCGGTCCAGTCGGCGTGCAACCCGCAGCTCCAGCCCGTGGAGAACCTGGAGAAGAGCCAGGTCTCCCGCTTACCCGGCCGGTGGCAAGTGCATTTCTTCTGACCCACGCGGCATTCGCAAGGCTGCTCCAGCTGGATGTTGCGCACAAGGTGGCGGCCAAAAGTGGTACCTCCGGTCTTCTGGATGTGCAGGAACACGATCAGGTCATCGCCCTTGATGTCGAAGTCTACCTTGCGCAGGAGATCGCTGCGGCTGAAATTGTAACGGGGCACGAACCTGGCCGAACTCTCATCCTCTGAGCGGTACGGGTCCGGCATCGGGGAGCTGAAAGCCTGCAGGCGGAGGAGCTGGCATTCTGTGCCGGGGCACACGTATTGGAGGACGATCACGGCAAATAGGAAGAGCATCACCAAAGCCAGCAGCAGCTTGTTGGATTTCTCATCCATATTCCCGACGCTGAGGGAAACCCAAGCTCGTTACGTCAATCCCGCAGCTCAGCCCGCACTCGCCGTGCGCCCGCAATCCCCCACCCCCTGGCGCCACCGTTGCGCCCCTCTCCCCCTCCCCTCCACACCCAGTGTTCTACCGCGGAGGCAGCAGCAGCGGCGCCCTTCCCCGCTTCCTTCCTTCCCGGCAGGCTCAGCGCTGTGGCTTCTGCCGCACAGCCTCCCCCACCTCCACCCCCCGACTCCTTCCCGCTGGTCGCCTGCCCTCTCCCCGCGCCGGAGCTCTCGGGAGCCGTTTCGCGGGGTTTCGTACCCCCAGGAGCCCAGTTGCCTCACTTTCCAACTCACACCCCCCTGTCCGAGCCCCTGCGTGTCTCCCTCCACTTTCGGTGGCTCCGCGGCTCCCATCACCATCCCGCTTCACCCACAGGACTCTTCCAAGCTTCTTTCCCCCGTCCTCTAGGCGCTCAAGCAGCCGCCTCCTCGCCTGCCCCAGCAGTTTTCCTCCCCAAGACCCCAAAGCCTTAGCTCTTTCCCGCACCGGGTTGCCCACCTAGGAGGGCGCCTGGAGTGAGATCTCGGCCGGGCGAGCTGAGTTCCCCTGGGGGAAGGAGTCCGCCGGCAGCCAGACTTGCAGGCAGAGACGCCGCGCGGTGCCGGTGGTGCTCGGGGAGGGAGCAGCAGCATAGCCAAATGCGCGCTGCGTCCCTTCGGAGCGCCCAAGCCCCGTCGCCAAGGGCCAGCTGGAACTTTGCGCCTTTCTCTTCCCCGCGCGGCTGCTCTCCCCTCCCCACACAGTTCCCGCTCACCAGGGCCCGGGCGTGCGAGTCCCGCTTTCGCCTAAAACGTACCTGGCGAGGGGGCCGAAAATCTTGGAGAAGATCGCACCGAGCACGTGCTTCAGAGAGTGGCCCAGCGCTGCCCAGGCCCCGAGTGAGCAGGGCCCGGCAGAGGGAGCCCAGGTCCCAGCGTCTCCGGAGGTCGTGCATCCGCCTGGCGGC